ATTGGACTTTATGTGGAAACAGTAAATCGTATCTATATCAACCGCCAGGACGGAAACATTTACTCCTCTTCAGTCTCACAAGATTTCTAAAGATAGTAAATTCAACAATAACACTTCTCTTTTAATGTAGGCCTTCACTAATCAAAGTGTCACTTTCAACTCACACAGTCACTTGATGTTTATTGATTTTGGGAAAGTTTTTCTCTTTGATGAGTATTACACATGTATGCCATTTAAAAGTATTTAAATGGCATACCCAGAAACGCCTCCAGTCACTGTGCTTTGTTTCATGATTGCTGATCTTGTAGAAAACGTTTAGATAAGGAGGCATTATCTTACTGATCAGTAACTTTTAAAGTGTGATATCCAAAATACATGTTGTTATTTGGAACGAATATTTCTTACTGTGCTCCAGATAAAGCATATTGGTGCTTTGTTGCACTAGACAACACATTATAAAATCATATTTTCAGAGCTACAACATTGCAGCTACACTTACAACATCTGTACAGTGACTGGACTAATATGTCCTGAGGACCATTTTGAATGTAATAGCTGTCGTGATTTATATAACATAATTCTTAAGGTATGTAACATTAAGCTTTAAAACTATATATTTCATACATCACGCTAGCTGCTTTATCTCCTTCTTGTTTATTGTATATATATACAAGAGAATGTCAATTTTCCATTGTATTATCAGTTTTTTCCTGATGTTAATTTCCGGAGATTGATTTATGTTTTCTTTTTCACTTGATTACTATGTACCTGGTTCCGGATCTTTTGTTCTTTCTTTTATTTGTTATGTAACCAGAGGATAAAGGAGGAGGCAGGGAGAACACGTGTTACTGCTTTTTGTAATTTCAACAAGTCCACACCTAACAACTACGTTATTTAACATGGATGTCAAAACAAGTTTATGTAATGTTATTATATTTTAAACAGAATAGTTATTTGATAAACATTGTTACATTATGTTTTTGTTGTCACGTGATTTATTTTACAAGTAAATTGTAATTTGATGAACTCAGTTGACCTCATGAGTGAATTGACAAATAGCAAAAAATAAATCACGCATGTTATATTATACAAAACGATATAATAGCGGGACATTTTGTTTTATCATGGCACCTAGTTAATACTTGACCATAAGTTAAGAACGCTCATGTTTGATATGAAAATTTGATAAACATTGATTTTTCCCATAGTAAAAACCAACTCCTCTCAGTGTCTTCTCTGTGCTTGATGCCGTAAGCCACCAAGCGATACATCCAACGTAACAAAAAACCATTGCCACCTAAAGCAGTGTATGAACCGAACAGGGCATGTTCACGATCTTCCTAGGTCTGGCAGATGTACAGACAGATAAGGCGCCCCATTTTCCACGGCCAACAGTCACAGAGGACAGTGGCTTACTGGCAGCAGACGTTTGAACAATAGGCGAATTCGCTCTCGACGACAAGTAAAACGTCATCTGGAAGGCACAAACAAGCAAGAGTGCAATGTGCACGGGATCATCGGACATGGATATTCGGTCTTAGTGTAGACATGAATGTTGATTCTTGCTTCCATGTAAAAATCGAAATGGCGGCCGGTGCCGTTTATGTTGGTTACCGGTCACGTTTGTCACTCAATTCAAATATTTATCTATAACTTAATGTCTCCACTCGGAGTCACAAAGACGCTTCGGATGTGGACCGTATTGAACGAAACCGGAGACGATGTGTATGACTTGGAATTAAAGAAAATCTAAAACTTTGAAAATGTGTATAAGTGTTATGTAGAAGAGAGACCAACCGGAGACCACCTTGTAAAGCATTTCCCTAATGATATGTAGGAAGATGTGTGCCGATATCCTCGTTTGACATAAAAAAAAAACACATGATGAATTGATGAGGAGGAAGTGCCGTAGATGCGGTTTATGACGTTGTCATGGAGGAGCCGCCATCTTGAACCCGTTGCTATCAACGGATCCAAGAAGACGTTGTTTCCTTGGTAACGCTTCCCATCATTCTCGTTAATTGATTATGCTTTTATTAAGATTAATTGGTCCTGACAATCTAACGCACTGTTTTAGATACATTTTTTAATTTCTTTACTTCAATGCTCATAATCTTACGAAAGAGATGTACCATCCGCATTTTACTCTGACAGTTTTACACTTTACATAACAACTTACGTTACCAAGATTTGATAATATTTGACTCCACTACAAAGTACCTTGCATTACAGTCTCGAATGCCACCATTTAGATTCCATTATATATGTGTATTGTAATATTATCAAATTGTCGCATAGACTTTTGATCTTTCATGACTGAAGAACAATGCTGTTTGTTTACTCATTAGTGAATTTCCATGCATTTCCGTTGACTTTCTTAAAAAGGTACCTGTGACGCTGAAACGAACATGTTGCTTTGGTACATGTGACCTGACCTACTGAGAAAGTGCAAATATGTCTCCTGTCACTTGAGAAGGCGATGATTTTGTGGCTGTTGGATTTTTAATCTACGAGGTCGGTCAGGGCATTTTAAGTGAAGGACTATCAGATAAGTAACTTGACATTTCCAGATGTTTGTCAAAATTATAAACCTAGTACCTGTTAACCTTCAGTCCCCTGTGTCTACTTGATTATCGGGTTTGAAGTTTACAGCTACACTTTATCTGGTGGATTATCGGTCCCCGAGGTTTTCCATGACCCTGTACCTGGAGGACCATCGGTCCCCGAGGTTTACCATGACCTAGTACCTGGTGGACTGTCGGTTCCACAGATTTACCATGATCTAGTATGTGGTGAACTGTCGAACCCCGAGATTTACCATGTTTTTTTCTATGTGCCTGTTTGTACCAATCATGTGGTTATATGTAGATTAAACTGCTTGAGGAATTTAGTCCCAGAGGTTTGTATTATTCTGCAACCGCGTTTTAGTTCAATCGAGTACTGCCGCGGTTCATGGTACATGTAATTTTGCCAACGTCCTGATTTAATCTGTATTGTGTGTTATTTGTAGCACCCTAGTCAACTCTTAACAATGTATGTTTAAAAAATCCAAAAGCAACTATGACTTGTACTATGACCTATTTTATTATCCTTGTAATAGGTGTTAGCCAGCAAGAGTGCATATATAAAAAACGTGTTCAAAAACCTATAATAAATCATTTAATTAGGTAAATTCCTCTTCATGTTGCATGTTTGAAATCAAATATAAAGGTAAGGTTTACACATATACAAAGTTATAGAAGTTTAACTCTGGGGGAAAAAATCATAATATTTCATGCAAATTTCAACAAATTCATGGTTTTGGAAACTGTGCTACTCTCTGGTGTCTTGACCAACTTTTTCAATATTCGTGCGACAGTAAATTTATCGATGGCTAACAAATCATGTCGTGCAACGACCTTCAATTTAATTTTCAGGTATATTGATGACTTGTCTTTCAATAACAAGAAAGTTATTGACCACGCAAATAATACCACCAGAATTGGAAATCGAAGACATCAGCCGTTCAACTCAACATTTTCCTTTAATAGAACCAACACGAACAGCATGATGATTTTAATTTCCCTGTTGAAATTTTCCTTTTATTAATAGTTATATCATGCTTTTCAAAGCTATGGTGCTAACATGTCGCTTTTGATTCGATATTAAAGGACTTGTTCCTATGAAGACCTATGCGAAGAGCGCAAAACACAGAATTTTGAGAGATACAGGTTGATGTTTAGAGTAAAGTTGTACGGTAATCATAATTATCCCATCGGACATTTGTCTATTTGCATGTGAGATATGACTTTGAACATGTTTGATGCTCTTTAGTATTTCTAATAAATCAGTCGTTTGTTTACCTATTCCTTATTTGGCAACAGAGCATCAATTTTCACTAGAATTCGATAAAATTTACATTGTGGGTATAGTCGATGAAGCAGAAGACTCTTATATTTCAGAAACAGGAAATGGTCTTTTTATCGTTGTACTTTTTCCTTTGTTTATATTTTGCCCTTATTTCATCAAATTTGACATTGAATTAATATTCAAAGCTTGAGCCTCGCAACGGTGGAATCAATGCCGAGTCATAGAAAGACGAAATAGCTGTATGGTGCAGTTCTAATATCAAAATATACTTTTCACTTGGAAGTCTTGTATACAATTTTCGGATTCAAATCTCCAAACACTCCCAGGTCTAACATTCATTCTTGTATACACATGACGTAACGTTTTCTGCATGTATTTTCCCGGTAGTATGGAGCATTTTGTAAGGTTTCCCGGCTGTTGCAATACCATAGCCACGGTACGTTTTCTGGATAGACCATAATAAAAAAAACTTCATATATAGAATGACCATTTGTCCCTCTTATTTTCTATTCATGTTCTTCCCTTGTCCTGTCATTCCTTTAATGAAATGTTTTGTTTACACTGTTTAACTGTCTATCTTCCTTTTCACTACTACGTTACTCTATCTAACGTTCTAATTTCCTGTCCCTTACAACATTATTCTGTCTAACGTTCTATTTGTCTGTTACCAGCCACGTTACACTGTGAAGTTCTATCTGCCTGTCCTCTACTATGTTAACTGTATAACATCTATCTTCCTGTAGCCTTTAACGTTACTCGGGTGCAACGGTTTGTGTCCCTGTCCCCTACTACTTACTTTTGTGTAGCGTTCAATATTCCTGTCCCCTACTATGTAACATTGTCTAATGTTGAGCATCAGACTAGTGAGCTAGAGGTCCGGAGTTCGAATCCACGTAACCAGAGGATGCGCAATCAAAGACACTATTAGTGATACAGTTTAACAAAATGGAATGCAACCAATAATGTTCATAGGCAATGTTAGGCTACGCCAAATAACAAAAAGGATTATAATAATGTTACAAAAGCATTGTTGATACTGAGTAACAATTTGGAACACAATCGTTCAATGTTACACAGACAATGTTATGTTATAAATGTTCCAGGGAAAAACCACAAAAGAACTCCTTACAGATTTTTATTTTATAAGAAAATCATTCATTTAATATCTCCTTAATGCTTACTGAACCGGTACCTCTACTTATCACAAACAAAAATGGATTGTTACCAATCCAATTTCTCGGGATGAAACTGAAAAGATAATAATAGGAAGTCAGTCAACAAATACATTTAGTTGTGTTAATGGTCTTCAAGAAGTAGCAAGAACATGATAAGTTAATTGTTTACATGTTTTATTTGTTCTATGTCAAACCCCTTTCCTTGCGTACATTATGTTCTGAAAACTGACCTAATTTTAAAAATGAACCTATATTTTTTTCCTGTTTTATCAAATGCTTTCTACGTTCATTGTCCAATGTGTTTCCACGTTCTGTAATTGTTCAAATGGCTTGCCCCGATTAAACGCTTTTGGTACATATATGAGACAAGGACCTACCCCATGTCTGAAATGAGTCCATCTCCAGCTGCGTCAGTGCCTTGGGAATCACCCCACTTGGCAGTGGTATCACCCAATCTGTGAACACTCTGGTAGATGGGAGTATTGAATGGTATACTATGTAAGTAGATAAGACCATTCCTTGTGGCGGTGGCTACGAAAGGTAAATTGTTGTATTCTCCAACGGCAAGGACGTTCGGCTCTGGACCCTGAAGGAAACAATGACATTTACGTAACATGTTGCAATTGGGGTTGTATTGCTTTTACCCGAAACAAAAGATGTTTGATTCCGCGCCGTTGATAACACGTAGCAATCAAACACATACGTGACTTTAAAAAAGGCCAAGAATTTATGTTTAAAAAATTAAATGTGACGCTGTCCAAATTGAAGATTATCTAAAGATGAAAAATTAAAGTTTAAATTTATGTTTTTCTTGGTATATAACAATGCATTGTTGCCATTTAACATATTCTTTAAATTTTCAGGTCAGATATAGCATGTTTTGACATTTGCAAAACGGTTTATCTACTATGTTTATTTATCACTTTGCTTCATAAGACAACATAAAATTATGGGCATGTCATCAGAATTTGAATTTACCAGGAAAATGCCGAAGCTAATTTGTATTGAAAGGTGAAATTAATTTGTGTGTCTATTTTAACATATTTTTTTTTCATCAATAAAACATTTCCCCAAGTGTACATTTATTCTAAATACTGATTATACCATCCATGGGGAACGACTGTCAGACTCAGACGCTGGGGTTAATGTGTCGTTCGAGCAGTCGCCGTTGAACACGCTGGGATATGATTCCAGGGCTTTTGCCTCCAAATCGTTACCTGTTGTGTATTGAGTTATGTTGGTTTCAGTATTCCAGAAACCGAGATCGCGACCCCCGAACAAATAAATAGTTTCTATGAGGCCGCTAATACTGCTTTTGCCATCGATTTCACTCATATAAACTTTACCTGAAAAGAAATGTAAAAATTGTTTACATTTTATTCAAATTGTGTGGGTTCTTAATACATATGCATATCAGTAGTCATATATGCAAGTGAAAAAATAATGCCTGCAAGTGCTGCCAGTCGTTATCTAAGTTTCTAGTCTCCTGAAATCAGGCATATTTTCTTGCTTCAGTCAATATAGCATGCCTTCATCAATATCTGCAGAAAAGTATTTTTTCTGACTTTACGAAAAAGGGCATTTCCGTGTAGCAAGAAAGTAAACGGCAGAACAGGACAGAATGCATGTATGTGAAAATCATACAGGTTGTGTAAGACCTCGGTCAATAACAACTCAGTTCATGGTAACACTTTCTTGGCCTGGTTGTCTATTATGACGTCATAGAAATGGGAGATAATTATGTATACGTTTACAAAAGTCTATTCAGTGTTGGTTTTGTTGTCATTATAAAATGCCTCTCTTTCTCCTACATTTCTATAGTATTTTCGAAAATAGTTTATAAAAGGTTTCCCCCCCCCCCACTAATATCTGAATGTTCACTTGATCTATAATTGACGTTTTCTGGTACAGTATTGTGTTGTTTTGTATTCTCGAACAAGTGTTACCAGTTTCTCTTTGTAGTAATCATTGCGTTCTGGGCATATTATTACATGGAGTTCTTGATTTGCAAGACATATTCGCGTTGATGGTAACTTTCTTGTAGATATTCACATGTGTCGCATCTTGGTTTAATACACTTTGAATCTTGTTTTCTTTTGAAATTTTCACATAATATTCTACATTATTTTTCTTATTATCGTTTACTGTTGATAAATTGTTTCTTTTCATAAAATGAACCAAAATAAAGGTGTTGGTGGATATCTCTGCATAAAATAAACATCTGTTACAATTTTATCTTCTTTTTTTTTTAAAAGAGGATATAAAAAAACGCAATTTCCTTTGAATTGATGTCAATAGTAAATTAAAGTTCGCGCCAAGCGCATATAAAAGGTTGTTTAATGTTCTTAATCTTACTGTGTGGTAATGACATATATTAAAACTATCTTCTAAAATTATTTTCCAGTATTTTGTGCCCCATATTTCTTTCATATCAAATAAGAAAGGTACATGTCAACGTATTAATCTCAATTACAACAGGTAGTGCCAGGAAATGTTGTGGACTCAATGCAATGGGTTTGTTTTTTATTGTGAGAAGCAACTGTTGCTGTATACAGTCTGGAGGTAGACAGACCCTTCAGCTGTATATGTTGTCCTGTGTGAACAATTATGAAGATGTCCTGTTGGGGTTTATTAAACTTGTATTGTATCTTGGTTGTTTGAGCCATTCTATGCAAGTCGCGCTCGTCCAGGTTACATGTAAAATAATTAATTTTTGTTTCGTTTCCCTAGGTCTAGAGGATACTCTCATATGTCCTCGAAATGATAAGGATTAAACTACTGGCACAAGTTTAAAATTCCCGACTGGTTTTCTATGAATACTTTATATATATATATGTATATACTAAATAAGCCTGAGAGAAATAGTTTTTTCCTTTTAAACCATGAATTTGACCCACATTGTAATATATGAGTTCAGGGTCTGATCACTCACCTAGTCTACTTTCAGTGATAAGGTTATACCTCAGACTCTCTGATATCACGCCTTGATCAATATCGCCCTCTACAAAATTAAAACAAATTTTGTGTTTGTTATTTGATAATAAGTTAAAATATCACCACTGTAAATGTTATATTACACAAGTGTGCATTATTTTAACGGAATCATATTTTGTAGTAATTTGAATCACTAAAGTTTATATATAAAACATACAGCCTGCCTGAACTGAATATTATGACCGCAATTGTCAGATGGATTTCTTTACTTTTTATGAATCGATAATAATACCATTTGTGTAAGATGACTTATCTATTCAGTGCAGTGCTGATTTCTTGTTGTTTTAAATGTGACTGAACGGATTAGATATTTACGCAGGTATAGCCTAACCAAGCGTTAAAGAGTTAAAGTTACCAGAAAAAGACAAGATTTACATAGAGAATTATGAATACCGTAATTTCTTGTGTATTGCCGGGTCCTTTAGATTGCCCGCACTAACCAAAATAATTGTTTTGAATTTTTTATGATGCAGATAGCCCGCTCAGTGCATTGTCTATGGGTTATCTGTTAAAAACTATATATAATTGTCTTATGAATTTCAAATGCTTGCAACACTACCTGGGTAATCCCCCAATGCATTGTTTGTGTTGTAGTTGGTTGACAGCTATTACCGGTACTGTTACCATGCATGTAGACACGGAAAAAGAATCAAAGTGTTCCAGAAGAGTAAACGTCTTCTGCCTTATTCCGCCTTGTAAATATTGGTCAAATAAGCGAGTCCATCCGTTAAAAACATTTCTGTCACTGTCATCAGTGGCTACAAAGGTCTGAACATTACGTTCACTGAAATTAAAACAGTTATGAAAGTTTGTTCTACTTACCCATAAAGGCAGATTTCGCTCTGACACTATCTGTGAAGTTCACTCCCTGTACCTGGTCGGTATATGTCTTCGGGACACCGGTGTTAGCTGTTACCACGTACTTATTCGTGTTAGCCTGGACAAAAACGGCAGCAGTTGGCTGGTTCAAACTTTTCACGGTATAACTGATCATATTGGCACCTGGCACAGTGAAATGTACCTTAGTCAATCATACCTATGAGGGATTGTGTTCGTTTAAGAATATTCTAACGCTTACAAGGAAAACAGCGTCTTGTGTATCAGTAATTATTTAATTTGTCAAAAGCATTCTTATCTAAAGCAGGTTAGTGTACTTCATGTTGTTTGTTACTTATACACGCTACAGAGTATGATATAAAACTGTTGAGAAGAAGTTTTATGCTTGGACATCGACAAAGTTATTGGCAAAAGATAAAAAAAAAAACTTAGACTTTAGTCAGGAACGTTTGGAAAAGAAACATTTGGTTCGACTGTATCCAATTCTACATATTCATTAGATAGTGTTATTCACTTGTATGTTTTTTGTACAATGTTAGATATTGTAGGTGTTGGACACTGCTAATGGACTTTAAAGTTACTGCGATTTGATGTAACCTGTATATGATGTTTTAATTCATTCGAACAATGGCATGGTCCAGCATACAAATCAATGCTTGATGTTAGTTTGTAATTATCAGATATATGATAATCTGAATTTATTAAATTGTGAAGCTTTGTAGACTACCTCATATAGATTATAATGTTTCTTTAGATCAATTTCTTTAAGTCAGTGAAAGACGACAAAGCTATCGGAAACTAATGAAGCAGTAATTTGAAACCCAGATAGGTATCACATTTCAAATATTTGATTGAAGGTAACTAAAAAGAATAGACATTTTCCAAATTTTTCATATCAAACTTTCTTAACGTACTGAAGGTTTTCATCTCATAACAGCAACTAGCCTCCGAAACTAGTTGTACTTGGGAAAAAGTACAAAGAAGCAAAACTAACAATAATCAGTTCATATAATGATATGGGCTTTCATTATAATATATGGTTTTTTCATATTGCACGAAATTAATGGAATAAAATTTGAAATCATGATGATTCATCGTCAGCTGATATTTCCTATTTCATCAGACCTCAAAAACTTCGTTAAATATGATCGTTCCTTATTTTTGCCATAAAATAGGAATAGCAATAGGAATATGACTCGTCCAAGTCAAGATGACTCACCTCCATCGTCGTCGGAAGCGTCAAGACTCGACGATTCCCAATCCTTGACTCCCATGGAATGGAGTGCATGCCATTCTTCATTCATGAGGTCTATAACTGCCATTGCATTGTTTTCCTTTATTTAAGGAAAGAGTCATGATGAAGCGGATATTTAGTTTATGAATGACGTTTGAGTGAAGCATCAATAATCATCAATTTTTGGAGACAGATAGAAATCATCATTAGAATAAATTTGGAAAAATGTAAGAATTGAAGTCAGGTTTGACTAAACATGCAAGAAAAAAGTTTGATAAAGGTATACATTAATTATAACGCGAGCATGGTAATTTTTCACTAAAACTATATTAATATTGCCGTGTGATAAAAAAAGTCTTCTATCAACCAAAACCACCAATAAGCAGGTACAATACCGGCAAGGTGACGTAAGCCCAGTTTCCGTCGTCACTGATGGCAACCTGTTCCGGCTCGAGGTCTTGGGAAAATTTCGTGACAATTCCATTGTTATGATCCCCACGATATACCCATCTGACTCCCGCATTTATGTACTTAATCTGTCTAGACAATTAATGTAAAGCAAAAAGAGTTAAATAGAACAATTAATATTCGTTATTCAAACATGTCACAAACGGTATGTTTTATCGTGAGTGTCATTCAAGTTTTCTCTGTGATATTATTTATGTGTTTATCTTTTTGCAGCTTTTTTTACACACCAAGCTAAATTAATTATTATTTTCTTAATCTTTTTACTAGCGTTAGTAACGTGTATTAAAATGAAGTAAAATCTAATTTGATTGTGCCATACACTGATCTGCTATATGGATGCAGCCATTTCGATAGCTTGACATTCATATTCTTATGGTAAAAAATAAATGTTTTCGTTTTAAAAGCCATGAATATAGAGACTTAATCATAGATTAGACAGTGCTAGTTTTACAGAATTCTGACCATTCTCAGCGTATACAAGAAAGTACAGGACAAAAGCATGCAGGAAGCAGAAAATAGAACGATTACCGATTCCATGTGGCGTTAATTGTGGCTAAAGATGTTTTCATACTAACAGAACGCATGACATTTGTAACCTACGAAAGGTGTTTCTGATATTCTAAGAAAGGACAACTTCCTCCTAAAACTTACTCATCGTTGAAGTGTGAGAGAGAAAGTTCTCTAGTAGATGGACTACTTCCAGAAGAAGCGGTGATAATGGAGACTGTTCCGTCGGGATCTGTAAATATTCCATTCAACACTCCTGGTCGGCCTTCGTTAGCAACCAGTAACTTTGAGCAGTCATTGGTGAAAGTCATGCTCTTTGGGGTCTCTCCAACTAAAATAAATATGACGTGATATAATGATTTTTCCAGCTGTCAGTTTTCTGTAATATTTTTCTCTTAGCTACGACTCTTAGAATATATGCCAATATCCGTTGGAATTGTGTGATTTCTCTAAATGAGCATTCCATTTTAAATGAGAATACGAAAGCTATTTCAAAGTCTTCGTATTCTAATCATGAGAGTTCTCTTCTCAATGAATGGAGAAAGGAGGTACAGATATATGACTGTGACGTATGCTGAAGCGTATTTGGTAAAAAAAAATACATCCAAATGAAAGAAGAAATATATAAAGGACAAAATCATAAAGGGAATGGAGTTCCTAGTTGACAACATCTTTATTGAGTTTGGTGATAAGATCTTCCAACAGACTATTAGCATACCCATGGGAACTTACAGTGCCAATCCATTGGCTGACTTGCGATTTTGTTTTCATGCGAGGTCAAATTTATTGAAGACCTAATCAAAACAGGTCGTAAAATTCTTGCAAAGTCCTTAATTTCACTTACAGACATATTGATGATGTTATGTTTTTAGATAACAAGAAATGTAGTGACCACGTCCATCGTATATACCGACCAGAATTAGAAATCAGATACGACATACTCTTCTACATCAACCGCTTATCTAGATCTTTTCTTACAACGAAACCATCATAGACAGCTTTCCATGAAGCTGTTTGATTAGTGTGGTGATTTTAATTTTCCTATTGTGAATATTTCCATTTCTGGATAGCTGTAACCCTGCATAACCAACCTATGGTATTTACATGTCGCAGTTGATTCGATATTAAAGGACTTGTTCTCATGATCATGATTTTCGTACATCATGTCGTTAACAAACCTGTAACACAAGGGTTCAAAAGATGCAGGTCGGAAAGAATTATGGGAAAGTTTTGCGGTCGTCTTGGTGATCTAACTGAGAAAGATATTATTTCTTTATGCTATATGAAGCTGTACGTGTTTGATGTTAGTTAGTTTGCCTGTTGCTTCCTTTATTGTATACCTTGTTCTCTTTTGGAACTTGACATTACTTTCTTGGACTGACCAAGGTTTACATGACGGATGTCGTCCATGAAGCAAAGATGCTTACTCTTCTGGAACACCAGGTCTCATCCTCCTTGTATTTTCGCAGGAGTCTCCGTGTAAATCTTTCTATTGGTCATATTTATACATTTTTAAACTGAATTTGAGTTTCGATCATGATTATGTTGATATGTAGGATTTTTCTAATGTTTTTGTTAAAATACATATGATATAATTGATTCTTTCTTGATTCAATACAGTTCACGCGCGATTGACACGTACCTGTAATTCTGTTAAATTTGTCACAATTGAATGAATTGGTGAACACGTCATAGACATCACACATGTAAACATGGCCCTCCGTAAACTCAAAGACGCTCTCAAGTAGCACTGCCACATTATTTCCACATTGAGCGATATCAACCAGACGTCCATCATTTCCGTCGTTAAAGAAATGTGTCGCTACAAGACTAAGTTGTGACGGGTTTGCAATATTCACTACATTCACACATTTGGAACCTAAATGATAAGAAATCGCCAGTAGAAAATTGTATCAGAAGATATAATAAGTGGGAATAATACAAAACTGGTCACAACTGCAATATGAAATGATAGATCACAAGATGTTTAGAAGACTCGTTTTCAAGCATGAATATGTGTAAATTTGTTTTTCTTTGTGTTTTCCTGAAAACATTTTTGAATTGATCGCTGTTATTAACATCTATATTTTGCTGTTGGTTTTGAATGTTATATTAAGGACCTTTCTGCAAAATGCAGCTTTCTGATACGTCGATTTTTCTTTTCATTTCTCGAAAAAAAGACATGCAGCTCCGCCCACTTGATAATGATCGTAGAAGTCAAAGGCAACATTCCATCTTGTGGTGGGTCTGTTGAAACTCCCTTTTTTGTATGAATTTAACATCTGTTTACATTCACCTGGTGTGTGGATCACAATCATTCAATTGATATAAACAACAAACAGACTACAATATCATAAAATATCAAAATGTCTTACAACGTACATGTATACAAACAATAAACAACGCATAAATATCGGATGTATAAGGGGAAAATATGCTATATCATTGACTTTTAAACATTTCCGTTTGGAATGTGACTGGTCCACTAATAAATGAACTTTGGATCACTGAAATGGCGCGAATTAGCTGTCAATGACGTCACGTTATACGCCAGCTGTTATGCTTAGTGTTTTATTATAAAATGATCCTTCATGGAATCATTTAATTTATACATGTATGTGTTATTCTTGTTTTTGAAACCTATCAAAGATATTAGAGGAATGTTTGTTAGTTTCATGCTTGTATGAAAAATAACCTTTTCGCAACTTATTATGAATTCGGTACAAGCATTCATTCAGTTTGCAAAAAAAGGTATTCTTTCATACTAGCATGGAACTAAACATTTTTATTAAAGGTTAAGAGAATACTTAGTCATGTTAATGAAAATACTTCATAACATTATTAACATTAAAAAGAAACAACAAATACACAATTTGTAACAAGTAATTAAAACTAAATCAACCAAGATGTACCACACCTCAGGCTCTATGACAAAATAAATCTTTGGAGTGTGTTTGCTGTAGTTAAAATACATACCGGTTACATATAGAAACCTGTTAGTCGGATCAAATGCTGCTTGGTTTGCCGTGTCTAAAAACATTGCATTACTGCCGGTTTCACAATCGATCAGGTTCAGGTAGCCGACATTATTGAGCTTTAGAACAGCCGTGATGGTAGGCAATACCAACAGAAGCAGCGTCCACATGGTCATATCGCTCGGTCAATCTCTGGGAACAAAATTTCATGTAAACGAAGAAATATCCGACCTATATTTTTTTTTATATTTTTCACATACTTATAAAACTTCTTATTTTCGTCTTATTAAAAATTCAAGCTATATATATTACACCAAAAACGTTTCTCACAGTTCAAACCAAACAAATTAAGTTGATTCATTCTTCACTTTATCACATAACATGTTGTTAACACCCTTTTGGACATACATTTGTATTTGACTTTATATTTCTAAAGGGAAGTTAACTTCAGAAAAAAAAAATAATAATAGAATCGGCGATAAAAGAAATAAAATAACAATTACAGATAGAAATATGATCTTGCCTTACCTTCAGACAGAGAGAACGTAATTAAAAGACAATCACTCACGTCGTTACGTCTTATCGATAGCGACTGTCACCTGGATTTTCCCACGTGTCAACCCCGACTAGTAGAAGAATGTCACTTATCTAACTTTTTTTTTTTTTGTAATACATAATTTTATTTCCTTTTGGTTCACATATTGACGTGATAATTTCACATTGATGACACATACTTTTTAATGTATTTTAATAATTACGATTCATTACTATTCATTTTCTTTACATAGAGAATAAAGCATACTGATTAACTGAAAAGGTTGTCCAAAGTACGCTCTTTTTGTGTTATTTCATGTATTTTATTAAAACAAAACTGTCTATACGCAATTATCTCGATTTCTTTATATCGTTTCATGAATGGAAAGATGTCTCTTATTGAAGGCACAGTTGAATTACATCTACATATGTATATCGTCTTATTATTAAAAGGCAACAATTCATTATTAAATTATTTTGATTATTATTTGAGTAACCAAAAATGACGTCCATTGGATAGATCGTGCATTCAATATCGCATTTTGTATCGAGTAAAATTGAGCACTCTCTCTAAATGGTGTTTACATGAATACAACTCTAAAGTATATGATAAATCACAAAAGCTGCATCTTTTACTATCTTTGATGCCGATTTTATAAAGGAATGTATTTGTACATAATATTCTATTATTGATTTTGAATTGAAAATTCCGCAAAATTACATCATTTGTATATGTTCTTTGTATCAAATAAATTCTATTCCAGTCAATTTTTAAGTTTTGAATATCCTGTGACCACTTTTCCATTGCTTTTACATTTTCAGAAATTATTGTGGTACAAAATTTTGAATTAATGATTAATAAGCCTGATATTTTCTGTTTCTCTAACAGCATTACTGCCAGAATTACGAATGAGTCTTTTCCATGTACCTGGATGGCTGAAATCAAACCATAAAATTGAAATCTTTGTACATGTGGAATATCAAAATGTTCCCTAAACTGCTGAAAAAATGGTACTTTACCCTCATTATCGAAAAAATCTTAAATATTACTGATACCCTTATCTTGCCATAGCTGGTAATATACTAATTCATTTCCTATTTTAGTGTTACTATTGAACCAAACTGGTTCCGAAAGGTAATATTCTTCAGTGTTTTCCTCTCTGTTGAGATTACTCCATGCCAAAAATACATCTTTCCAGAACAGGTTAAGATTTCTTACTATCTTTATCATGTCATATCTGTTATATGCAAGAATATTATAGTTGCCATATCTTTCTAGATCATCTAGTAATAGTAATTTCCAGGGAGATGTACTTCGCGGATCGAGTAATTTCTTTACTCGTGTTAGTTTCAAAGAATTTATAAAACATTCAATATCAGTCATTTTCAATTCATCATTTTCATAGTTATTTTTTAAAATAGAAAGCTTAATTTTATCTCTTTTATCGTTGCAGATGAAACTGAAACATATTAACTAAATGATGTGGTTGATTTGATTACACAGTAAACACTTGTACTAGAATAGGTAATGCAAGTGATTTAATCACTGTGATTTTACCAGATATGGTGAGATTTATTAAGGACCCATTCTTTAACATAATTAACAAAAGTTGTGTCTGTTTTACTAAGATCATATTTAATACCAAGAAGTTTAAATTTGCCTGTGAGGTTCCACTTTAGTCTTCGATCTGTTAAAATTTTTTTCGTAACTACCTTTTTTCCTGCCTATCCAAATTGCCTCCGTTTTCTCATAATTTGCTTTTAACCCAGCACAGCTTCCAAAGGAGTCTAAGATATCTAATGCATCTTTCAATGATCTTTCTTCATCATCAAGACATAATGTAGAATCGTCCGCATACTGGCTCGCCAAAATCTCTGTTTCGTCTATTTTAATACCATTTATATCAGGGGAATACTTAAAAGCGGCACTTAAAGTTTCTAAGGCAAGAATAAACAAATACGGCGAGAGAGGATCTCCCTGACGAACACTCCTCTTCAGATCAAAGAAATTTGAACAAAACCCATTATTTATTCCACAACTAGTGACGTCATTGTAAAGTAGCTTAACCCATGATTTTAGTTTTGTACCAAAACCAAAGATATCTAAGGTTTTATCAAGAAATTTCTATTCTACTGTATCAAAAGCTTTTTCAAATTCAATTAAAAGTAAAATTCCCGGAATATTCTGTTTTTCAGTTTTTTCGATCAAATCATTTACAATCCGGGTGCATTCGCCTATATATCTACCTTTAAGAAAACCTTTCTGTGTATCATTGATAACTGTATCCGAGACCGTTTTTAATCTATTAGCTAAAATTGAAGTTATGATTTTATAATCAGCAATCAGTAATGAAATTGGTAAACATGTTATTACGCCTTGTTTTTTGATGATAGATAATTGTTTGGTTATAAAACTATTGAATTGAATTAATAAGAAAACGTTTTAAATCTTTCCAAAAGAACTTATAAAATTCCACTGTTAAGCCTTCTAAACCTCATGATTTACAGTTTTTCATTTTCAAAAGAGCATTCGCACATTCTGCTTCAGTGATGTCACTATCACAAAGTTGTTTTTCTTCTTCACTAAGTTTATTAATAAACGGATGATTATTACAAAAAAAAATCTCAGTTTGGTCTTCGGTTATGTCAGGGTATCTTGAATTATATAAGTTTTCGTAAAATAGCCTTTGTTTTTCCAAAATGTTTTCAATACTTACAAGTTCAGAACCATCATCAAGAATTAATTTAGGAATACGTTTTTCAGTCAAGTTTCTTTTTTCTAAATGACAAAAATATTTATTACATTTTTCGCCCTCCATATTCCACCTAGCTTTTGCTCTAACCATCAGTCCCCGTACTTTTTCCTCTCGTAGATTAGGAAGATTTTCTTTTTCCTCTAAAATAACAGCTGTTTCTTGATTTTCAAACGCCAAAGGGTCACTCTGTTACTGTAATATTTCTGATTCCCACAAAAGTTTATCATTCTCTGAAAAGCGAGTGTTGTCGAAATTATTGTCAACTATTTCATCCACTGCATAATTTGTAAGAACTTGGTTAATAGCAGTTTTAACAATGTCGGTATAAGTTTTATCAAATAATTATGAATTATTAAACTTCCCCCGACCCCGTTCATGATTATGTAGCTTTAACTTAATAATAATTGGTGCATGATCAGATTTGTATATCAATCCTATGTCGCAGAAAGTTACCAGGGGCTGAAGGTCAGAGGAAACCAAAAATATTCAAGCCGACTAGCTTTTCCACTTGGCCCAAACCAGCTAAACCTTTTAGTATCTGGATGCTGAACTCGCCAAATATCTATTAAGTCGAGTTCGTAGTATCAATTATAGATTAACAAAAAGAAAAACGTTCCTTTTTAAACGGCGAAAAAAATCCTGCGAATCAGTATTTGGACCATACACACATTCTAGAGTCATTCTTTGGTTTTGAATACTTATGTTAAGAATTATGAAATTTCCCAATTCATTGGACAAAACTCTATGTACGACTATTTTTGAACAATATAGCAACACCACTATTTACTGTATGAGAACAAAAATAGCAATCCATACCCCATTCATGTTTCCACTACCGTTCTGAAGATGCTTTAGAATGAGTATCTATTAATACTGAAATGTCAGAATTTCTTTCCCTGCATAAATTAAATATATCCCTTCTCTTTATGTTATCTGATAAGCCTCAGCATTTCATACTAGCTATAGTAAGTTCACCCATAATCAACTTCTGTAATCTTCTCTGAGAATAAGTAATACATTGTTACAGTATAGATGGACCAGTTTTGTATGCATAGATAGGCAATGTCATGTTTATGTGGAAAACTTATTGTATAACCTGACCGTCCCGAAACTGTCCAACGAAAACGAGTTCGTCAATGTCCCACACAATACGGCTACAGCTTTCCATCGAACGAACGACCTCCCTGCCAATAACCTCTACACAAAGACAGCTTATAATTGTTTGCTTGTTTTAGTTTAATTAGTACAAATAATTTATTCATGTTGATGAGAGAGAAAAAACCTTAATTGTTATACCATGCCTGTGGTAGTAGATGTTTTCTTCTTTTTTCCACTTTAACATATTTTTATTGTATAAAATATATACAATGAGGATCAGGCACAAGTTTTCCAAACTTCTGAATAATTTGATAAATGATGTGGTAGGCTGTGTGAGTAAATATTTACAGTACAGTTGTATTGTGTTGCTTGGTTGGACTATTTCCATAAGTATTAGTCATCTAATGGTCAGTTTGGCGCGTGTTTCTTTGTATTTTATCTATTCCATCAGTTTCAGTTTGACTTTTTGCAGTTCACATTTCGTTCTTTTGTTGTGATAGATTGTTACGATAGAAATACATTTCCTCATTTTCTGATGCAGTTCTGGATTTTTCGAATACATCGCACGAAATCGAGATCATCACCTGGATCTTCAGTAGACTTCAGCTTACAAATTCTCCTTTCTCTCCAATCGTATGCAGTCCCTGGAACTACTTATATCAGTCTACGAAAAACAAGCCAACGATGAGCCAGTTAACAAATTATTTCTTCCAAATAAATGTAATTCTGCTATCACTGATTTTTTATGAATTTGACCCAAGAAAATCAACATGTTACACATTTGGCTT